CTTCTTCTTCTCTCTTCTCAACTTGCCACCAGTGAAGAGACCCAGTTCTGGTGCCCTGCTCTGATGTTCTCAGTCCAGATACAGAGGCTTCAACACTGTGATCTTAATGACATAGGAAAGGCCTTTCCACATTCAAGGACAAGCAGGCGATACTCAGGAGGAAGGAGTCAGTCCTCAACCTGGTAAGCAGAACACTGCTTTGATCTTACCACTGCTTTATGAGTTTCCTGTCACAAGAGGTAATCAAACAGCTTGGATGTCTGCTGTGGGAAATGTTCTAAGAAGTTAGATGTGATGATGTCCGAGGTCTCTCCTACCCCTCAGGGTCTTTGGTTCACTCCTATCTACTCTACTTAGATTCACTGCAACCAAATGAGTCACAGTTCACAGAGTGCTTAGGAGTTCTAGTGAGCTGCTGCAAGCCAAGGACAGGGTATTCATTGTTTTGTAATCCCAGTCTGTGATACTACGAGAACATGCATTTTTTTTTCGTGTGCTTTAGCTGAGGGCAGAGGGAGGGGAAGAAAGCCTTATAAAGTTCCATTCCTCAACTCTGTCAATAGTACAAAGCCTGTAAAATAAATGCCAGTTCCATCCAAAATCACATTGATTTTAGCAACAGAACGCCCAAACTTCTGTTGAAAGCTCTGGAAAAAGGGGCTTGTATTATTTTTTAAAATACAAGTCCCAATTTGGTAATGACAATTTTTTTTTTTTTTTTTTTTTTTTGGTCTTTTTGAGACAGGGTCTCACTATGCAGTCCAGCCTAGCCTTGAACTCACTTTGTAGCCCAGGCTGGTCTTGAACTCACAAAGCTCCTCCTGCCCCTGCCTCCTGAGTGCTGGGATTACAGCTGTGTGCCATCACACCCAGTCAACATTCCATGATAATGGAAGAAATATAGTCCTCCCCTCCCCACTCCGACATAAAGGATACTGCTAACTAGGGAGTTCAGCATATTAGACCTTCTCACCTTGCGCTTGACTGAGCTGATAACGTGTAATACTCAGACACTGGAACACGGCAGAGATATCTCTCCCCCTCTTCCCACCTGACCACAGCCCTCCATCTGTCGCAGGAGATCCACACCCAGACTCCTCACTTGCCAACTCCTACTGAGGGATTATTCCAGACACCAGGAGCCTCCAAAATACAGCTTCAAGCCAGGCATGGTGGTACACACCTCTCATCCCAGCACTACAGAGGCTGAGGCAAGAGGATATCTGGGAGCTTCCAACCAGCCTGGGCTATAAGTGAGCTCAAGACTAGCCTGAACTGCCCAATGAGACCCCATCTCAATGAGGTAAAACCAACAAACATACAAAGAAGAATATAGCTACATTTTTAATCTTTGGCATTTTTATGAGATGGCTTTAAGTTTTCTGTGAAGACTTGTTTGAGAGAAGATATTGTAGAGAGCCTCTCCTGCTCATTTTCACAATTTTACAGGATTATATAAACTGGCCAAACAATGAATTATTTAAAAATTACTGACAGAATAAGAGGCTTTACCAAGATAAATACTGTAATGAGCTATAAATCTTGAAAATGTGACTTTAATTTGATGGGCTACCTAGAGCTAGCCCGCATTGCCGGTGCGCACATGATCTTTCAGGTTTTTCTCTTTAAGGAAAAGATTATGCTTGAATAAATAAGCTTACAAATCTGAAAAGCGGGACTAATGCTCCTGAGCTTAACACCTTGGATGGTTCCTCTTCCACTTGTCTAAGACTTTAACTAGGAAGGAAAAAGGATAGGAGAGACATTTTGGTGAGAGAAGGCTCTTTAAATGTCTACAAGGGTACCAGGAAAATTTCCTCCAACGGCTTATAAAGATGGTGGAGAGAATGAGCCCCCTCCTATTATTCAATAACCATGTTTGGGATGCATCTGCATAATCTAGCCATGCATAAATTAGTATGTGTAATACAACACTTATTTGCATAATAATAGCAAGTTAATAGATGCTTAAAGAGCAGAGACCAACACCACCTTTAAATCAGACATGCCTCCAGGCACTTTGGCCTGTACAGACCAAGATGCCAGAAAAACACTGAGCTTCGACCAGAGGAAAACAGTCCAGCCGTTCATTTTCTATCCCTCCAGACATTTCACTTATTTCCTCACACACGCTGGGGAATCATTTGCAAACCACAAGACAGCTTTATATTTTAAATGCTAGCACCCTCCAACAATAAACATTTTAAAGAAATTATAAAAATTGGAGTCAACAGTGCTAATACAATGGACTGTTTGTTTTCTTAGAAATGTGGGCAGGGAGGAGCAAAATCCACAAAGAATGTGCTCAAAATTACATGTAACAACAGGGGCCTAGTTACCTGGCAAAAATAATGATCTAGATTATTTTCACTCTTCATCTGAATCCTCTAAATAAAAGTAATTTTAATTAAACCCAAAAGCTAAAAAAAAAAAAAAAAAGTACCAGGCTGAGCCCCTCCTCCAGCTTCAATCTGAGCACAAGGTCCTGGGCCAGGAGAAGGGAAAAATATCTCAAATGTCACACAAAGGAAGAGCACAGATCGCTGTCAACCTTTAACAAAGAGGAAAAAGTCTGGAGTTTAAAAAAAAAATCACAAATCAATAGAGACTTCTAAATGACTCCTTTAAGATACCACTTTTCAATTTAACAGGACAGATTTATCTGTATGGGGCTCCAGTGTTCAAGATTGCTCCCTGCACCTTCATACATAGGAATGAATGTCACAGTGGCAAACGGCAGTAATGAACAATCTTACCTGAGGATATGGGAACCTCCCAAGAGCAAGCTGGGAAAGGAAATAATATTTGTCTAGTTATAGATTTGCATGCAGGGCAGATCTCCTTAAGACAGACAAGTACTAAATTTCAGAACTGTATCCAGCAAATATAAAAAACCCTCACAACCTTGAATACACAAACTAAATTATTGCTGTAATTACACTAGGAACTGTATTTAGAATGGACATTTTCAATAGACAATGCTGCATTCCTGATCAAATATTTTAACTCTAATAACTAAACATTATCCTTATGTGCTTTCTCTTAGGAATATTCTCAGCTCTGTGGGCATTACTCACATTTACACGCATGCGACAGTTTCTTCTAGACAGAGGTGTAAAATGGTTGGCTTTTTGTCTTGTATAATGGGAACATCTAATTGTTCTCAGCTCTGTGGAGTTTTCAGTTAGAAGTATAAGTAAGGATTGCAGGAAGTGAGGAATGGGTCATATTATGAAACTGAAAATTGTGCCACCAATTTCACATACTTGTTGAGTCTTTTCATACATCTTCTATTCACAGTGAGTAGAAAAGGGCTACTGCTAGTGGGAAGATGGCCATTTGCAGACCTTGAAGTTAAAACTGTATGCCTAAGTGCAGCTGCAAAAGTGGATCCTCAGAACTTCTGGTTTAGATTGATTCATTAATGACTATTTCTGGACTAGTTACTTAATTTAGCTTTTGGGAACCCCCACCCACGAAAAAAAAGATTTGACCAAGAATAGGCTCGATAAGATCAAATGCAACACATACCTCATAATCTATTTAAATAATGGCAAAAATTTCCAAGTTCCTGTTTGGCCCATTCTTAGTCCTGAACCCCTTCATACACACCCGCAACTGCATTCAGAGTAGAATCACACCAGGGAATTTCAAAGCTAAGATAGATCTAAGAGAGTGCTGATTGGCTTCATAAACCAGAATCCTACAGTTCTACTGAGGAGTCCCACTGAGTTTATCAGTGGGAACCCAGGGACAGACCCCAAGATGTTGACCGTGCTTGAACATTCCTGAATTCCTCTTGCAGCAATGTGTAGTACCATTCCATGGAACAGAAGAATACCTGCTTTGTTTTATTGGAAGTGTATCTTGGATTTAAAATTATACTCTTCAGGTTGTTGGCCACCTGAATTATTTGCAGACTAACATGAGAATGATCTAAGAACATAAGCAAAATCCAAAGCTAACTACAAAGAGTAAATATTTTGTTGCTTACTAAGGGTAGACATGAAAATGTGGGGGTTTTCAAAATTTCAAGACCAGTTTGAACAACAGCAATGTAACAGGAGTAAGTCATATGATCTTATAAAGCAACTACTTTGAAAGGGACAGCACTCCCTTGAGGGTGTATATGTGTGTTTGTGTGTGTGTGTGTGTGTGTGTGTGTGTGTTTTGAAATACCTAGTGTCATTACCTTGTAATCATCTTACATACAAGCTATATATTTTTGCATACATGGACTTTCAAGCTATAAAGTTATACTATCATTATTTCATTTGACGGACATCATTAATCCTTTTACATATAAATAACAAAAATAGCCAGGTATGATTGCGCCTGCCTATAATCTGAGCTACCTGGGAAGCTAAGGCTGAAGAGCTGCAAGTTCAAAGCCATCCTGGGCAACTCAGTGTGGGCCTGTCTCAAGGGGGTGGGGGGGCTCAGTGCTCCCACTATGTCCACTCTGTCTCCACTCAGGGCTGTTTGCCTCACAGTCTGAATGATGACAGGGTGTTTCTGGCTGGTGAGAACATCCACAGTGACCCCGGAGTCCTCACTGCAGCGGGGGCTCAGGCATCCCCGTTGTCCTGGGCTCACTAGAAAGGCAGGGCAGCTTGCCCAGAGCGCCACCTACCACCACACAGACTGTGGGGCGGGAATTCTGCATATACTTCCACTGGCACTAGAAAAACAGCAAGAGGTGGGGGTCTCAACTAAAAACCAGAGTTTATCAACTACCAGAGAACACTAAGAACTTTCTATCTTGAGCCCTCTGCAGACATGGCGTCACTTGGGATGTACACCTTGTTAGGGACCCTGGAACAATTCTGTCCCCATGGCTTACAGGAGGAAGACACTTGCCTGTCACACATGCTGTCAAGATCTAGACCAGCTGGCAGCTGCCAGCATTGGCCACTGAGTCTTACAGTTTAAAGAATTAAGAAATATGAAGCAGAAGCTTTAAGAAGAAGAGGAGGGTAAGGTGAAAATCCAAATTCTCTCCCACTTCAATGCTACCTCTGATTCTCAACCTCACTGCTGGTTATAAAGAGCCAAGCTCCAGGATACTGACTGGGACACACCTACTTGGCCCCTCTGTGACAACTACTACAGCACAGACAGGACTGTTGGCAGCAATGGGCTGTTCTGCAAGATGCCACCATTCAGGAGAACAGAGGGAAACTCAGGAAAATGCAGTGGGAGCACTGAGCCCCCATTTCCTTTTGAGACAGGGCCTCACTAAGTCACCCACTCAAGCCCAGGCTCCTTGGGGCAGTGTGAGAACCGATGGACACCTCACTCTTGGGTCTGGCTTTGTTTCTGCTGCATTTTCCTGATACCTGATGGAGTCTCCATCCTATCTTTCCACTATGTTCCTGGGAGGACAGAGTCCAAAGCATCCTGCAGCTTGGGGTTTCAGGGCAGAGAGGGGTTCTTGGACCTTGATCAGCAGGTAACATGGTAACAGCAGTGGGGCAACCACTTCCTTTCCTATCCTTGGGCTGCTTAGCAAGCAATGCTGTACTAGTGAACACGGGCCACGGCACTACCATTGTGGCACTAAAAGCAGTTGTTTTAATCAGAGGAACCTGCCTTCTAAACCTTGGCCCTTCCAGATCTAACACAGCCACAGTGTTTACATTCCACACTGCCTCATGGCAAAGTAGAAGGAAATACACAGACAGGCTCTAGAAGCCTTGTATTAAACTCTCTTAGGAGGAGGTAAGAAGGAAAAGGGGTTCTTAGCAGATACAGCCTTGAAAAGTAAAAATAAACACAGAACCCTTATGGGGAAAGGGAGTGCACATGCTCTGTGTTCCAGAGACAGACAGACCCGGGGCCATTCTGTATCCTTTACCCCTACTGGCCTATCAGTCTACTTGCATTTCCCCAGTTTTTATTGTCAAGGTATTATAAATTAGGAAACTTACAAAAGAGAGTATGTAATCGTCTCTGAAATGGCCTGCAGATATGTCACTGTACTAAATGTGTTTCAGATTTAATGAAGCTTTAATGTCCTTTTTAATTTTGCCTGTTTCTGTATCACCAGGGGTCGGGCAAGGCAATCAGCACTCAAGAGGGTGGTTTGGTTTAAAACTAGGAAAAAACTCATTTGCTTATGAGTTGCACTGTATTTTCTTAATTAAATTTACTGAGTAAAATGGTTTAAGTTCAGCCAACCAATGACCTTTGTATGTAGATTTAGATTTATAAATAGGTTAACAGTTAAAGTAAAGGGAGGAAGAAAAAAGAACTGCAACAAAGCAAACAGATTAGGGCTAAGCCAATAGAAATCTTTGCTCTCTTTATCATCTTTATAAAAGATGCATTTAAATACAGGCAGCTTAAGTCCAGTTTTAAAAAAAATACATTGAAAAATGTGGACACACATAAGCACCAGCGATTCATCAAATGACTCACACATCCTTTTCAGTCCCAGGAGGGGAGTTGCTCACACTGTAAAGGATTTGGAAAAGCTTTAGTTGTTTTCTGAGAGTGGAGGTAGACAGGACGGAGGGAGAAGAGTCTATCTGACGTTAAATAAAAAAGTACATTTTAATTCCAAATACTAAAGGCTCAGCAAACTGCTGAATACTTCTTGTGGGACATTTACTATGTAAATGGCAGAAAGAGAATGTCTTCGATGTGGTTACCAGTTGGGAATACATTTAAATAACAGGAAACCAGTAACATTTAAACACTGTAAAACTAGGAATACTTCTTAGTGCCATCTTATTGATCTTTGATTTGTCTAACCATAATCCATGAACTGCTCTTGCCTTGGAAGTATTGAAAATGTTGAATACATTGTATTTCACAATTTAAATAACAGATATTTGGGTGTATATACTTCTCCATGTGTGTGGGTGTACAACTATTACAACTGTTGATACACAACAACTGCATGATGAAAACCTCTGTATTTTATTTATTTAAAAAATCTTTTATTTATTTATTTATTTATTTGGTACAGGGTCTTGCTACGCACCTTTGATTCATAGTGATCGTCCTGTCTCAGCCTCACCAGCACTGAGATTACAGGTGTGTGCCACCATGCCTTGTTTCAGGGGCTGGCACAGTGCACCCAGGCTGGGGCCAGCACAGCATGTGCAACTGGGGACTGAACACAGGTCCTTGTACTTGCCACAGAGGCACTGAGACCGCTGAGCTATCTCCTCAGCCCCCAGACCTCTGTATTTTAACAAAAAGGGTCAATGACATTTACTTACAATGAAAATGGTTTTAGCCAATAATAAATATAACTGCCATGAAATGTAATGAAAATGGTTTTTGTTGATATTAAATAACTGTCACAAATTATAATGGAGGAGAAGAAAAGTGTACCTTGTACCCAGAAAGCAGTGCAGGGCACAAACTCACAGCACGGTCTTGGTGATCAGGCCCCTGACATACAATATCAGCCATGTAAAGCAAGTAGTTTTAAGTTTACAGTTATACAGAAGAGCACTGTTTTTAAATTCTTAATTTAGACATACTCTATGTTTCTCAGCATAACTGCAAATTGAAAATAAGCATTTTCAATATAGCCAGTGATCTAGCTGAAGGAGGACTTTATAGCTTGAAATGTTCTAAAATTTGTTCTTAATTACCTTGTGCACATTTTACACAATTAAATTTCCATCCAAGGATTTTGCATTTAGATTGTATACTGCAGTTAAACGTTCATTTCATAGAAATGTAGCAGTCACTTTGCAGCACTCAGGCACTGGCAAATTTTTAAAAAATCAGACTTAACTACTGGATTACACAAAATTCCCTGGGTGAG